TTGCAGGTGGGTGGGGAATTGAACTAAAAATTCAGATAGGGAAGAACTCATTGAAGGTGGAGTAGTGACCTATGCCTAAGGATTAGTACTCTGGCAAGGTTAGCTGAACATAACCTCAGTGTGCTGTGGGTATGACTCCTTACAGCTTTGAAATGATGGTTAACAGTAAATGCCATGGAGATGGCAGGGCTGCGGTGCCACAGTACTGAGGGAAGGGCCAAAGGGTTCATGGAAGAGAATGGATTTATTATGTAAAACCTGAGAAAACATCACTTGACTATGTGTTCTAGGAAGGCCGATAGGGCACTCCTAGGATAAGGAGGTATATATTGGCAGAGAGACTGAGCATCTTAACAACATTGATATTGGCCTTGCTTTGCAGGCTGGATCAGTTAAGTAAACATGCTGCTATGGACCTGTGCTTCCTGGAAACATTGCAGGAACAGGGCAGAGAGTACCAATAAGGGGACTCTACAATGGCAGAGCAAGGTGGTAGTGTTCAACTGTTAGAGACAAGATGTAATTACCAAAAGGTACAGGGATGCTCAATTGGCAATGAGAATGTTGTATTCCCTGGAATCTGATAGATCATGATATAGGTCAATCCCCATTGAAAGAGAGTAAAGAAGGTCATAGGCCCAGAATCCATCGACTGAAGCAGGACTTTGCAATGTACCACAAGTATTTGTACTAAATATTACCCAGATACTTTCTGGAAGATACCTGTAGTAATGTACAAGGTGGAGCAACATAGGCTTGCAGTTTTGAGTATGAGAAACACAGAGTTTATTCTTGTATTATTATTTATTAACTATTGTATTACCTTTCCATCTAAACAACTGTCAAACTGCTATTGTCCCACCTTGTATGGACTAACTTTGTACTGTAGAAAAAAGTAATATTCAGCCTTTACAAGAATGGTTGGCTGTGAGTTCTGATGTGTCACTGGTGCCAGAGAAACCAAAATACCATCAAAATCTTACATCTAGTAAGAGTCCTAGTGAGGCCACATATAAATGGGATTCCAGGCCAAGTCATTTCTCAATTGATTCAGTCTTTCTGTAGACCTTCCCTGCTATTGTTGCCCCAGTGTCCAAGTATATGATTAGAATAAATATGTTTAGAAGCTGGAAGAGCCTCATTTTGGTTCCTTGATTTATGGACTAAGAGCCATGATGATAGTAAAGACTAAGTAAAGTCCTTTGTGACACCCTCCACCCTCAGAAATGGCAGTAAATAGGAGTGATAATGCATTCTAACAGGATTTGCAAAGATTAAAGCCATCATTAAAAATTTAAAGCTTTAAGAGATGCTATAGCAGTGCTTCTCATTACAATCATATTTAATTAGTTTGCCCTCTACAAACAATGATCACTCTTGAAAGATGACAGGGGTCTACTGTAAACTTAGCCCAACCATATCCATGGTTGCAGCTATGTATATAATGTGATATTTTTACTAGAACAGATTAATACAGGCTTTGTCACTCATCTGTCTATTAATCTAGTTAACAGACTATTCTTAAACAGGAACAAAAGAATCCCCCCACAGGCTTATTGACATATAATTGACATACACCACTGTGTAATTTTAAAGTGTACAATACAACGATTTGCTATACATATATATGTGTAAGGTTAGCCACAATAAGATTAGTTAATACACACTCCTTCGTGCATAATTACCATCTTGTTATTGTTGTTATGATGAGAATATTAAGGCTCTATTTTCAAAGCAACATTTGAGTATAAAATACAGTATTGTTGACTATACTTTAGTGGCCTTAAATCCCCAGAACATATTCATCTCATAATTGAAAGACTCTGCTCTTTGAACAATATCTTCCTATTATCTACACCCCTTACCTTCTGGCAACCATCATTCTCCTCTGTTTCTGAGGTGAATTCTTTTTTATTCCACATATATGTGAGAACATAGATGTATTTGTCTTTTTTCTGACTTATTTCACTTAGCATAATGTACTTGAAGTCCCTCCATACTATGAAAAATGGCAGGATTTGTTTCTTTATTGTAGCTGAATTCATTGTACATCCACATAGCACATTTTTTTATACATTTATCTATCAATAAACACTTAGGTTGTTCCCATATCTTAGCTATTGCAATAAACATGGAAGTGTAAATATATCTATGAAATCATGATTTTATTATACATACATGGAATTTGTGGGCCATAAAGTAGTTTTATTTATTTTATTTTTTACTGATCTTAGAGAAAGGAAGGGTGGAGGGGGGAGAGAAAGTTGAAGAGAGAGAAAGACAGACAGATAGGTTGAGAGAGAAACATTAATATGTTGCCACTTGCACCCACCCCAACTGGGGATCAAACCTACAACCTAGGTAAGTGCCCTGGCCAGGAATCGAACCCGACCTCTTTTGGTGAGTGGGATGACTCTCCAACCAACTGAACCACAGCAACCGGGGCAAGTAGTTCTATTTTTAACTTTTTGAGGCTCCTCCATACTATTTTTCATAGTGATGTACTAATTTATATTCCCACAGTGAACCAGGGTCTCCTTTTATGCACATCTTCATCACCACTTACCTCCTGTCTTTCTGATGATGACTTTTCTAACAGTGTGAAGTGATTGCTCATTGTGGTTTTAATTTGCATTTACATGATGATCAGTAATATTAAGCATATTTTTACTATAATTGTTGGCCATATCTATATCTTCCTTGGGAAATATCTATTTAGTTCCTCTGCCCATTTTTAAGTCAGACTGTTCTTTGTGTTTCTTATATTAACCCACCATCAAATACATGGTGTGCAGGTATTTTTATTTTTACCATTCCATAGGTTGCTTTTTTCATTTTGTTGATTGTTTTTTCTTTTGTGTGGAAGTTTTTTAGTTTGATATATTTTCACATGTTGAGTTTTTCTTTTATTGTTGGTGCTTTCAGTATCGTGTCCAAAAAATTATTGTCAAGACCAATGTCAAGAAGCAGATAACCCATTTTTTTTTCTAGGATATTATGGCTTTAGGTCTCATATTTCAGACCTTAGCCAATTTAAAGTTAATTTCTGTGAATAGTATAAGACAGGAGCTATTCAGTTTTTGTGGTCTCTTATGAATTTAATGATTGTTTTTGTATTTTTATGAAAAATGCCATTGGAATTTTGAAAGGGCTTTCATTGAATCTACAGATAACTTTAGATACTATGAAAATTTTAATATTAGCTCTTTCAATCCATAAATACAGATTTTTTCCCATTTATGTTTACCTTTTTTCAATTCCTTTAATCAATATATTATTGCTTTTAGTGTGTAGATCTTTTACTTAATTGGTTAAATTTATTCCAAGTATTTTCTGGTTTGATGATATTGCAAATAATGATTGTTTACTTTATTTTTGTTTTTTTATAGCTTACTGTTATTGTATAGAAATTCAACTAATTGTTGTATATTAATTTTGTATTCTGTAACTTTATGGAATTTGATTATTAGCTCTAACAAGTTTGGGGAGGAGTCTTTTGGATTTTTTTTTTTTTTCAAAAAGAGATAATTTTATTTTACCCTTTTCAAATAACATGCCTGTTATTTCTTTTTCTTACCTAATTACTCTGGTTAGGAGTTCACTTACTGTACTGAATAGGAATTGTGAGCATGGCATGCTTACTTTTTCCTGAGTTCAAAGAAAAGTTTTCAACCTTGCACACTTGAGTATAATGTTTGCAGCATATTTGTGCTATATGGCCTTTATTATGTTGAGGTAGATTCCTTCTACACCCAATTTGTTGAGAGTTGTTTTCGTGAAAAAAAATGTTTGATTTTGTAATTTTTTTTTCTGCATCTATTCAGATGATTATATAATTTTGTCTTTTATTCTATTAATGTGATGTACCACTTTATAGATTTGCATATGTTGAACCACCCTTGCATCTCAGGAATAAATTCCACTTCATCATTGTGTATGACCCTTTTAATGTACTGTTCAATTCATTTTTTTAAAAATAATCCTCACCTAAGGATATGTGTTTATTGATTTTAGAGCAAGAGGAAAGGAGAGGGAGACAGAGAAACATCAATGTGAGAGAGAAACATCTATCAGTTGCTTCCGTATGGTTCCCAACTGGGGATTGAACCTGCAACCTGGGCATGTGCTCTAATGGGGAATCCAATCTGCAATCCTTTGGTGCACAGGATGGCTCTCCAATCAACCGAGTCTCACTGGCCAGGGCTGTGCTGTTCCATTCTGTTCACTAGTATTTTGTTAAAGAGCTTTGCATCTTTGTTTATCAGGGAAACTGGCCGCTAGTTGTTGTATCTTCATGTGACTTTGGAATAGAGTAATGCTGAACTCATGCAATCAATTAGAGTGTGTTTCTTCCTCTGCAATTTTTTGAAAAATCTGAAAAGGATTAACATTAATTCCTTTTTGTAAGTGTTTATAGAATTCACCTGGAAAGCCCCCTGGTCCTAGTCTTTTCATTATTGAGAGGTATTTTGTTTTTTAATTTTTTTTTATTGATTTCAGAGAGGAAGAGAGAGAGATAGAAACATCAATGACAAGAGAAAATAATTGCCTGGCTGCCTTCTGCACGCCTCCTTCTGGGGATCGAGCCCACAACCTACGTATGTGCCTTTGACCAGAATTGAACCTGGGACTCTTCATTAGGCCGAAGCTCTATCTACTGAGACAAACCAGCTAGGGCTCATTATTGAGAGGTTTTTGATAACTGACTCAACCTTCTTACTTCTGATTGGTTTGCTTTTTTTGGTTTTCTGCATGATTCAGACTTGGTAGGTTATATGTTTCCAGGAATTTAACCATTTTTCTAAGTTGTTCAATTTGTTGTTGTATAATGGTTCATATGGTCCTTTGTGTTTATGTAATTTTAATATCTCTTCTTTAATTTATAATTTTATTTATGTGATCCTCTCTTTTCCTGGTTAAGCAAATCCTCTCTTTCCTTGGTTAAGCAGATCTAGAGGGAATAATAAGCAACAGTATAGTAATAGTGGCAATTTCAATACCTGACTTCTAGCAGTAAGTGTCCATCCAGACAGAAAGTCAATAAGAAAATGCTGGGCATGAACTGTACTTTAAAGAATCTGACAGACTTCTCCACAGCATTTCACCCAACAGCAGTAGAATATACTTTCTTCTAAAGTGCTCATGGAAGATTCTCCAACTCATATGTTAGGTTACAAAACAAGTCTCAGAAAATGCTAAAAAAAAAAAAAAAAGATTAAATTAATAGTAAGTATATTTTCTGACCACAATGGCCTGAAACTAGAAACAGTAACAGGAGGGAAACTGTAAAAGTCACAAATATGTGGAAGTTAAAAAACACACTCTTTTTTTTTTTTTTTAATATATTTTTATTGATTTCAGTGAGGAAGGAAAGAGATAGAGAGAGAGATAGAAACATCCATGATGAGAGAGAATCATGAATTGGCTGCCTCACGCAAGTTTTCACTGGGGATCGAGCCCACAACCCGGGCATGTGCCCTTGACCGGAATCGAACCTGGGACCCTTCAGTTCCCAGGCTGATGCTCTATCCACTGAGCCAAACCGGCCAGGGCAACAACACACTCTTAAATAATGAATAGGTCAAAGATGAAATCAAAAGAGTGATAAAAAATGCATCAAAACAAATAAAAACTGAAGCACAACATACCAAAACTTATGGAATGCAGCAAAAGCAGTTCTGAGAGAAATTTATAATGATGAATGCCTACATTTAAGAAAACAAAAATCAAGTAAACAACTTATATTTATACCTCAAAGAGTTATAAAAAGGAGAATAAACTAAGTTTAAAGTGAGTAAAATAAAGGAGAAACAGAGATTAGAATAGCAGTAAATAAAATAGAGAATAGAAAAACAACCAAAAAGATCAACAAAACTAAAAAACTGATTTTTTAAAAGGTAAATCAAATTGACAAAAGAAGCTTTAATTTAAGTGGGAAGGGCATCTATTTTAACTGTCCCTGGACATGATTAATTCTATTCTCTTTCACAGTATATATGTAAGGGACTTGAATCATATTTGAAATATCTACAGCATCGTGCTAAACTAGTGTACTGATGACATCATGTCAATAGAATCTGATGATTTGAGTTACACGTACATTAAATACACTAATAAGCCCTAGACAGTCTTGCTCAGTGGATAGAGCATTGGCCTGTGAACCAAAGGGTCCTGGGTTCGATTCCAGTCAAGGGTCTATACCTCGGTTGCAGGTTCCTCCCAAGTCCGGGCCCTGGTCAGGGCTCTTGGAGGAGGCAACCAATCAATGTGTTTCTCTCACATCAATGTTTCTCTCTGTCTTTCCCTCTCTCTTCCATTCTCCCTAAAATTCAATGGGAAAATATCCTCAGGTGGGGATTAAAAAAAACAAAAGCACAACCCTAATGAGACACTAAATGTTCCAGAATGAAGGAGGGCCTCATCAAGAATTGGGGGATCTGCCACACAAATATTTTGGCATTCAGTGGTTTGAGGCATACTGGAACCTTGGGTCTAAGGTAAAATGCAAGCTGTTGCTTCTCATACCTGATATCAAGAGAGAAGCATAGCACTGTGTTGGCTGGTTGGATTTTGCAGTCAGCATATACTGTACTTGGAAATACTTCTCTAACTTACTAAACTAGTGACTTGGAAATCTAGCAATTTTTAGTAGTGTCCAAATCTATGGAGACTCTATACTAGTTCTAGGTATGGTGCAAATTGCCACATCACTAGAGCGATATGACCTGGCAAATGTAACATAGCCACAAATATACAGAACATATAAGGATATTGTGTGATGTTGGCATGCCCCAATAGGATATGTGCAGTACACAGCTATGTGTTTCTAGAACAAGGCCATGCCTAATGATGGCAGGGGACTAGTTGTTATTTAAAAAGCAGGTCCTGTAAATATGGGCCTTATAGCAACTGAGCTGTTGATAATAATATATCCAGTTACTATCTAACTGGAAGTATGGAAGTCTTGGATAAGAAATGATATATTAAAGTCTCAAGTACAGTACTAGTACAAGGACAATACTGTTGAGCACTGTGGAGCTGTATTCCAAGTGTTTGTGCTGAGTAAATAGCTAAGATATGGTGTTATGTCCCCAAAAGCTTGACTTTAGAGCCTGTGAAACAAGAGATGGAAGTAAAATGCCCCTCTCACCATCACTCACAGTGAAGTGCTTATGAAGTTTTTTCTTATTTCCCCCCACAAACTTAGGCTCCACTGTAATAGAGAGTCTTACTTCTGTGGCAGAAGTGAGAACATACTAATAATCAGGGGAAAGAGATAAAATATTCCATCAAACTTGAAGTACAGTTACCATGTGGTAACATTAGGCTCCTTATGCCAGAAGGCAAAGAATGGGTTACCTTACTAGCAAGGGTAATTGACCGTAATTTCCATTACGCAGAGTTGCTGCTTAACAACCAGGGAGATTTATTAGAGTGACACCTCATGCTTCCATGGAGGTGGTAAGAGTGAAGGGACTATATTAACAACCTCAGACCAACAAAGGTGGGGAACTAGGGGATAAAGGATGTGTCTGCTGTTTGCCATTCAATTGACATCAACTCCTGGCCACCCTATGAATGAATGATGACCTAAATGTGTTATCCTCAACAGCCCCGCTCAACTTCTGTAGACTCATGCTGATGGCTTCTTTTATGAAGTTAATCCATCTTGTATTTGGGCTTCCCTCTTTTTTGGCTGCCTTCATTTTTTCTCAGCATTATTGTATTTTCCAAAGCACCTTGCCTTCTTATATGTGCTGAAATAGGACAGCTTCAGTTTTGTCATTTTTGCCTTGAATGATGTTTCAGGCTTAATTTGCTCTAGAATCCACTTGTTCATTTTTTCTGGCTATCCATGGTGTCCATAGAGCTCTCCTCCAACACCATATATTAAATGAATTTGTTTTCATATCAGCCTTTTTCACTGTACAACTTTTACATCCATACACAGTAATCAGGAATACAATGGTGTGGGTGATCTTAGCTTGTTCTGTAATGACACACCTTTGCTCTAGGTGATCTTTCTCAATTCTTAGGTGGCTGCCCATCTGAGTCTCAGCCTCCTCTTGCTGTCCTGGCTACAGTCTCTATTGAAGTGATGACTGAAGCAAAGGTAAGCAAAATATTTTACACTAGAGGCCTGATGCATGAAATCCGTGAAAGAGTAGGCCTTCGCAGCCACAGGGGATGCCTAGATCCCTCCCTCGAAACCATGGCAGCTGCCTTGATCCCGCGGCCCCGGCTTTGTCCGGAAGGTCATCCGGAAGGACATCTGATCTAATTAGCATATTACACTTTTATTATTATAGATTGTCAATGTCTTCACTGTCTAGGTTAAAGTTGTCTATTTCTTCTGTAGTCATAAACTTTGTCTTTTTGATGTTCAAATGCAGTCCTACTTTGGCACTTTCTTCATTCACTTTCATCAGAAGTTGTTTCAAATCATTGTTATTTTCTTATGGTAAAATGGTGTCATCTGCATATTGTACATTTTTTATATTTGTTCCAACAATTTTAATGCCTCCTTCCTCTGAATCTAGCCCATTTTTTTGTATAATACATTCTGCATTAAACAAATAGGAAGAAAATATGTCTCCTTGATTGACACCTTTGTCTATAAGAAACTATCCTGTATCTCCATATTTTGCTTTGGCAGTGGCTTTCTGTCCACAATACAGGTTCCACAGCAGGGCTGTCTAGTGTTGACACACACCCATTTCTTTCTGAACCACTCATGGCTTTTATAATTGACACACAGTCAAAGGCTTTACTACATGCAGTCTGAAAAATAGACCAAACTTCTGAAATTCTTTGGAGCATTCCAATATTCAACAAGTGTTCTCAGTCACATCAAAGTACCTCTTCCTTTTCTGAATCCACCTTGAATGTCAACATTTCTTGCACCATATAAGGTACAAGACTTATTGTGTCACCTTGAGCATCACCTTACTTGTGTGGGAAATTAGAACTAAGGTCTGATAGTTATTACACTCCCTGGCATCTCTTTATTTGAAAATTGAGTTGTATATTAAATTTTTCCAGTCTGTAGACCATTGTTTTATTTCATATTTGTTGACATATTTTGTTGAAATTTTTGACAGATTGAGTCTCTGTGGCTTGAAATTATTCTATTGATATCTCATCTACATTGGTGATTTGTTTCTTCCTAATACTTTCAGGGAAGATTTCACTTTCTAGAATAACATTTTTTTTTTTTTTTCTCATAGGAAACTTCTTCAGAGATGTCTGTCATTGCTTTATCTCTTCTGTACAGATTTTCAGTAGGCTGTTTTTACTTTCCTTTTATGTTCTCTTGGTCAGATAATGTGTTTCTCTGTTGATCATTCAGCATTCTGAGTCAAGGTTTGAGTTTCCCTTTTTATTCTTTGATTCTTCTCAGAAAGATCTCTTTATTTTTGTTCTATTATTTCTATTTACATTTACTCTTGCAATAGTTATTTTTATCTCTACTTGATAGTGGTTAAACACTATATCCAGGATTGTAACACTGTCTTGTCACCTTTTACTTTTAATCTTTATTGTTGAAAGTATTACATATATCCATTTTCCCCCCATTGACCCCTTTTAGCCTGCCCCCTGGCCCTCAAAATCCTATTGTCTATGTCCACTGATTATGCAAATATGCATACAAGTTCTATGGTTTATCACTTTACACCTACCCACCATCCCCTGCCTTCCTTCTGAGATTCCACATTCTGTTCTGTGGTTCTATGATTCTGGATCTATTTTGTTCATCAGTTTATTTTGTTCATTATATTCCACATATGAGTGAGATTATATGATATTTGTCTTTCTCTGACTTGCTTTTTTAGCTTAGCAAACACTCTCCAGGTCCCCCCATGCTGCCTCAAAGGATAATAGATCCTTCTTCTTTACTGCTGTATAGTATTCCATGGTGTAAATGTATCACAGGTTTGTTTGTTTTTATCCACTCATCTAATGATGGGCACTTGGGTTATTTCCAGATCTTAGCTATTGTAAATTGTGCTGCTATGAACATAGGGCTGCATATATTTTTTACTGATTGATGTTTTGGGGTTCTTAGGATATATTCCTAGAAGTGTGATCAGTGTGTCAAATGGCAATCCCATATTTAATTTTTTGAGGAAACTCCATATTTTTTTCCATAATGGCTGTACCAGTTGGCTAAGGTTCCCTAGTACACCACCAGCAGTGCACTAGGCTGCCTTTTCTCCACATCCTCACCAGTACTTGTCATTTGTTGATTTGTTGGCAGTAGCCACCCTGACAGATGTGAGGCGATACCTCATTGTAATTTTAATTTGCATCTCTCTGATGATCAGTGACTTCGATTATTTTTCATATGTCTCTTGGCCATCTGTATTTCTTCTTTGAAGAAGTGTCTGTTTAGGTCCTTTGCCCATTTTCAATTGGATTGTTTACCTTCCTTTTGTTGTATGAATTCCTTATATATTTTGAATATTAACACTTTATCAGATGTATCAGTGCCAAATATGTTCTCCCATACAGTGGCCTTTTTGTTTTGTTTTGTTGATGGTCTCTTTTGCTGTGAAGAAGGTTTTTATTTAGACGTAGTCCCATTTGTTTATTTTCTCCTTAGTTTCCTTTGCCCTAGGTCTGTGGTCGGCAAACTGTGGTTAGCGACCCTCATGCAGCTTTTTGGACCCTTGAGTATGGCTCTTCCTAAGCCTTAGGAGTACCCTA